TGATGATCCCGCTCACCGTGGAGCAGTACAAGTTCATTACAACCGCTGCCACATCGCAGCCAGGTGAGATACAAAAGATTCCGGGCCACATGAGGTCTCCCACACTGGGATTCATTGGAATGCTTTACAGCCTCATGGATTGCGTCGGCTACATCAGCTGGTCGATACATGAAGGTTTTGACAGCACACTGGACATGACAACCTTTTACATCTTCAAGGTCAACCTCCAGACGGACAAGCTTTTCCAGACAGAAGGTTTATCAGAAGCAAGTGACATTGTTCAACAGGGGCTACATCAGTGCAGTCCTCGAATTACAACACACTTGCACATAGACCTTGCCAACCATCAAGAAGGCCTCTGGTACAATCATTAAGGTCAGGGCCACATTACAAATTTCGACCAGCGCTACAATCTCACGCGCAACTTTGCAATTTTGCAACACGTCACCCCCATCGAGACGTGCTCAACAATATGGATCGTCTGGACAGGGTTCGTGCGGGCCTCACCATGGCTCTACATCACTACAGCTATGCCGCCGCACAATCCATCGCTGAGCCAGAGTGGTGGAGCATGGAATACAGCTCACAGCGAGCGGTACAATCCTGGTTGCTGGACAAGTGGGCTACAGCGCGAAGCTTCAGGACATCGATGGTACAACCATCTTGTCTCAACAACAGGGCTACCGACTCCTCAACAAGAAGCGCGTCCTGGATGACAACTAGCTACATGCCATTTTGGCACACCGGAATTTGTTACAGGAAATTTGCACAGATAAGGACACCGTTGCACAGGACACAGGCCTGGTAAATGGCCACCTTCCTTGCTACATCCTGAACAGCTAATATACACGCATGAAGATGCACAATGAGTTGCGCTTTGTACACTAGAACATAGAGGTGTACAAACCGCGGAGGCGTGTTAGAATACATAGTCATTGCACAGCCTTGGTGAACACCCTCACCTGATAATGCATTGTGCAATCAAGGCCTTGGGCCTTAGTACAGGAGTAAACCAGATGCATCATTGCCCTGGACACAAAAGACTACAGTGCCGCGCTGTCACATACAGGTTTACACTTCAGGCAAATAGGTTCTACACTTTCACATTGAGTTTAACAAATAGGTTCGGGATGTCCTTCCTGTTTCAATAAGTTTCCTTGGCCTCGTCGGGGTAACTAGAGCACTGGGCTAGGTGGTCGAAGGTTAGTAGGGGCTGTCCCAGCAGTACCTTGTAACAGGGTTTGAAGTTTGACTCAGTTGCGGGGTGTTCAACAAGTGTGGAGCCTCTGACAGTTTGTTTGAAGGGGGCCCAAAAGCAAGCTGATGGCCTTTTTCATTGTTTATGTAGCTCGGCATAATGGAGGGGGCCCTTATTTCAATACGAAGCTTCAACTGTGACTTTGTCAGTAGGCGTTTCTTGAACGAGGGTGCTGATCGGCCTTGTCCAAAACCCTGCCATGTGGCAGAGCGATTTATCAGCGGCGGATTTTCACCAGAAGCCCACTTGGGGCGCAAGAAATTCGCACTGCACAGACTAAGGCAAAGAAATTTCAAGTTGTGTTTGTGTGCCATTGGTTTCGATGAAAACTGTGTGTGTGGGGTAACAGTCATGCAGAAGAACAAATGCATCTCCAGGTCAATATTCGGAGACTTGGAAGCTTCTGACACTTCGTTGTAAAGATCTGTGTGGATGTCGTCGTCAGACGGACTCGCAAAAAGGTCGCTTCAGGCAGATCAGTTGTGCGACATGACTTTGTCGGTTCGGGGGATTGTTTAGGCATGACCTTATATATGGTTGCCATTGTAAAGGGGACATGCTGGAGGGGGGTTAGACATCACTGGCTTTTGGTGGGAAAGGTTCTTCTCGGATTGCCTTAGGAAAGAGTGTATAAGCAAGCACCGGCCCGTGGCCCTTGAGGTAAGCTGCTTAGTTGGTCGCTCTTTCGTTCGGCCTCTCTCCTTTGCACTTCGGGGCAAAGCTTGAATCATTTGCATTGGCTTGGATTAATCAAGCCAGTTGAAACCTTTGGAATACTGGTAATACTTCTATGTTTGCAGCGAGCACAGGCCAGTTCCAAAACAAGTCTGGATTCTTTTGCTGATTCTACCGTCTCACCTTTCTCCTGTGTTGTGTGGCTGAAGTTTCTACTTTGCCCAAGTGAACAGGCGTGTTGCAATCAGTAACTTTGGCCGAATTGGTGGTAGCATCCACGATCCACACCTTGGCTGCCCTCCTCCCCCCCCCAAACACAAGAAGTGGAAGTCCCAGCCTCGATGTCCCCCTTGTCTAGGCAGTAAGAACCCTCCTGGTTGGCCCAACCTGCAGAATCCGCATGCTTGCGTCGTGCACCGCATACCGCATATCTAGACCAGCTCGCCGCATACGGTCAATTCCCTGGTGGCATGCACGACTTCTTTATCCATTGGTTTCCCTGTTGTGATCCGCCCCCGCCACAAACCTGGCGTTTTCATCTTTGTTCGGGTCCAACTCGGCTTGCTC